CTATTTCCGACAGAATCCACATTTGGTAGGAAAACCGCATGCTCCGAAACCCCCTAAGCCCTGCGAAAGCAAACAGACATTTCCGCCCTGGAAGGATTCTGCATGTAAAAGCCAATGTGGATATGCACACAGGCTTGAGCAGGGGGAGATATATCATGGTTCTCCTCGTACAGCAAAGGGGTGACTGCAGATTTTTCCGTCTCTTCATCCTCCCAGCCTCTCCCAGCATAATTTTCAGCCACTTCTGAAAGCTTCACAGCCAGGCCACACTCCAATACGCATTCACGCATTAAATATTACCAAAACAACAAATCCACATTGGTCTAAGGCTGGAGGAGTGCAAGCACAGTTATACTTTGCTTTTCCATAAGGGGAAAGTCCAGCAAGGACAATTGCAGAGCGTTACAACACAAGAAGCCATTTGGGAAGGGAAGAGGAGCCATCGTTCAAGAATGGCACTGCTTTCCATTTGGGTTTACCTCTTTACTTCAGTGACTCCTGCCCATGACACCTGTACTGCCAGAAAGGATTTACCCTGAAAGAAACACCCCTCACCAACCCAATCACCCCCAAAACAATTCCCAACATCACCACAGAGGAGGGGCGGAGGGGGGAGTGGTGGTGAAGCGCTACACAAGAAACATTAAAACTTTTGTTTTCATCGGAGAAACTGCCAAGTGACAGCAGTTTCAGGTTACACCCTAAACCTGCCTTGCTATGGTAGTTTTTCAAATTAAAATATCTTCTGTGGCCTTAGCCACTCTCAAGCCATCCATAGGCAAGAAAGAAAGGAGGCAGGGCGACACTTAAGCTCAGCCATAATTGGAAGTATGTGAAAAATGAAGTGTCAGTTCGGTCAATAAAGGGCAAAGGTGAAGGGGAACTGCAGCCCAAACTCGGTGCGAAATGTGCTCATTAAGACACCCAATCCGAGGGCTCCTGCCCACCTATCCCATTAGTCATCGGCCATCTGACCGCTTCAAATGCCTCCCCGCTCTTATTACTTTTCTTCTCCCATGTAAAAAAAAAAAAAAAAAAAAAAAAAAAAGGCGAGCTGGTATATAAATCCTCGCTCAGTCATCTGGAACATAATGTGGCCCTTCTCTCCCCCTCTTCCCAGCTCTGCTGCCTGCCTTTGCAGCCTCCAAACAACCGCCTGGAGATCCCCAGCAATAATAAACCCGATTGCCTTTTTGCCTATAGGTTGCTCAAACTCCTACAAAACCTTAAAAAAAACCAAACAAAAAAAAAGAAACTATTTCAGCCATTGATACATTTTGATAAAGAAATATCGCTGCTTTCTACTCCTGGCTGGAAGGAGCAACAATTATTTGGAGGTTAAAAAAATGCTTTGAACGTAGGCTGAGGCTTGGGGGGAAAAAAAAAAAAGAGAGAAACAACACATACAAATAAGGTGACACTGATGGATTGTTTTTCCTTTTCTCTTAAGCTAAACATGGGAAATAAAGAACTCCACTCTGGATTAAAAGTGACTGTACCAAGGCTTTGTTCAGCATCTTCCTGGTCTTACTATTTGAAAACCAAACAAAATAGATCTCTCAATATCCCAAACAGGAATCTTTTGAAGTTATGAGACATAGTAAGATAAAATAGTGCTGCCATGAATTCAGCATCACCTGCCTGTACATAAGAATTTGCTTCTCTTCTTTTAAATAGAATTCAGTGAATTATTTCTCCACTATGTAAATTCAGATCTCTTGGCACCATTTGGAGACAGCCCTCCAAAGGCCTTTCCCGTTAAGTTCAGAGCAACAGGAAAACTTTTTCATAATATTATTCTGCATTCCTGTACTATAACTATCCCCTATGATGACACAATACCAGGCCTTTAGAAGAGGTTGTGTCAACGTACTATGCAATAACATATCCTGCTGTTTAGTGGCACGAGACCTCAGAACAGGTCCCTAGCAGTTAAATATGGATTTCTGCAATAGATCGAAGCAGCTGGGAGTTATTACTATTTACTAAGTAAATAAATTTACACATTGAAGAAGACTTCAAAACGTTTACAGGAAAGACTGTCTCTCCTGATTTCAAAGGCAATCATTTGATGGGTATTTTACACTGGGACATAAATAGGTTAAAAATATACTTTGCAGAATTTCTAGTGAATAAGGTAATGAAGAAAAATCTACAAAAAGTCTAAAAATAGACTTTAACATACTCTGAGTTATGGATTAAGGAGAATAGTCTTGCTAAAGGCTTAAGTTTTCCAGTCTGTGTGCCTCTCCAAAAATGCAAAGCTTCCATTTACACCTTTGTGATACTTTCAACCAGGTTGCAAACCTGGCCCAGAAGGTGCTTTTGCCTACCCCAACGAGAGATGCAGGTTGTAAGAACAACCTGAAACCAGTTTCAGAGGGTTTTATTTCTGCTGATCAGATTTGCTTTTTTTTTTTTTTGGTTTTTTTATTTTTTTAAATGGCAAACGTGATCTTGACAGATGGAAGGAACCAAAAGGAACTTTTACAAACTCCTAAAAATAGGGAAGCCCATAATATACTGAATATATGTCACGCAACGCATGCATCTCGAGTTAACTGCCATGCTTGCAAGCACGAGCATGTGGGTCCCCAGCCTTTTGCTGCCACCCCTCCACAGCACCTGGCTGCTATGGGAGTGCCAGGCTGGCTCCTTCTGCTGCCAAAAAAAGCACCCAGCAGTGGTGAACACAGGGGTTTAACCACAGTGTTGCACTCCCAACATCAGGTCACAGAAGAAAAGCCACCAAATCACAGCATCTGGAAATTAAATGCAGTTGGGGAGAGGCAGGATATTTGCTGTCTTTTAGTTCTCTTCCATTTCAGTCCTTGAATATTGACTTCTTCCCCGTAGGGAAATGCTAAAATCACATTTTGGAGTTTTTTTAACAGAAGGTGTATATGCAGGCATGGATGTGCTCAAACAAATGAGCTTCCCCCACAATCTCAACCTTCAGAGCATCTCATGTAAGACATAAAGCAAGGCTCAGCAAGACCACTGCTGCCATTACCACATTCCTGTTCCTCAAAAACAATGCCATTTCCAAAGGTGGCAAGCGACCTGAAGGCAAGCCTTGGTAACAGAGACTCCCAGGACAGGATGTCTTTTCCAAAAACTCCTATCCCAAACTTGACCTGAGAGCTCCAGTTATCAAATTCCCACTTTCATAAATCTTCTCCAAAGTTTTAATGCACTGACCCTTCTTCACAAAACACTCTATCAAGCACTGGCAGCAATCCCAGCCCCAATAAACCACTGGGGTTTGGGTAACAGTTTCAGGTCTGACTAAAGCATCACTGACAAGTCCTTCTGTGGATATTTCATAGGACTCAGGCTTGAAACTCACTTTAGAAAACCCTTCCTGACTGAAGCTGCAGCATGCACCTTGCTAGGAACTTACTGAGGCATCAGATATGACCAGCACTCCAGACTACTAAAAATACCACATTTAGGAGAAAAATAAAGCCTGAAAATCTTTAAAAGTACACCAGGAACTAAGCTGAATTTCCAACGTGGTCTAGGAGAATTCTGGCAAGCCTCCCCACAGATGTTTTGTCCACGCACATATCCACATAAACACACGCACATCCGTCTAATAAAAGAACAGCCCTAAACCAATACAAAAACCCTCTCAAAACACCACATTTTAGTTCAAAGCTTATTTTTGAAGCAGCTTTTTCAGCCTTAAAAAAACCCCATGGATTTAAAGTTTGCTCCAAAAGCAAGGGGCTCTAATGAACAAGTTGACACCACTTCAACTATGGCATTGTGAAAAGCACCACTAGAATATATATGTATACATACTTGAAAGAAAAAAGGCCCCCTGAATTTATGTTGCATATCATTTTCCAGTAAAAGTCAGAGGTCAGAAGGTTACCAGTGTCTGCCTCAACTCTGCAACAGTTTACTATTCCAGGCCCCATTTTTACTAGGCTACACTTGCAATGAAGTCAGCAACTTTTCTTTAAACAATAATGAGTCTCAAATACTTAAAGTTCTATAAAGAGATGTTATTCACCACGTACGTTAAATCCATGCATATAAAAAATTAAAATATACTGGTTTAGTTTAAAAACTAATCTTGTTAAATGCAGACTTTGCAATGCTAATCAGTACTGTTCAACCTTTTTTTGGAAACACAATTCCTTTGTTGTCTAACAGCACTTGAATGAAACATGATCATAAAACCAGATTTAAAAGTATATACCTATTGTGAGTTCAGAGTCAACTTCAATAAAGCACTCTCTTTTATATTCAGATTAAGGATCCTTTTAAAATTTTAATTGCATTAAATTAACACTAAATCCACTGCAGTTGGTCTGTTCAGAAAAGATATGCTTTCAGCTTCTCAGAAGAAAAAAAAATACAGAGATTCAGCTTTTTAGATTTCAGAGTTTTTGAGACAGCACTGATTATTTGTAGAATGCCCCACTTCCATTGCACCAAGCTCATTTCATACTCGCCCTGCTAAATCAGCTGCTCTGGCCTGGCTCTCAAACAGAATGTTCTTCCATTCAAGTAAATTGGAATTGAGTATCAAAAAGTAAGTAAAAGCATGGCTCAGGATTTTTCAAAACAGTCCAGCTAACATCTTTTCTTTATATACAATCAAGTTTTGATGGCGTCTCTGAAATATCAGCATGCATTTCTGCAATCTTAATTACATTTGGTTTTGAAGATTTCATCTTTTAACCTATTTGAATGAAGAAAAAAAAAAACCCCAAACTTCTAATTTCTTATTTTTATTAAGCACACTGCAAATTTGGTACATATGTTGCTCTAACATGTGCCTGCTGGCAGGGTTAAAGAAATAAAGATGCCAATCCCTTTACTAGGAGGAGATGGAGGAAAAAAAATGTCGAAAAAAAAGGAAGATAGACCTTTCTCAGCATGAACCCTCTAGTACCCGAGCATATTTCCACAGCAGAGAGTAAGCAGTCCCTGAGCACGCTGGTGACCACCAGGCAGCTAGGAAAGTGTGAGGGCTCTGTTCCTACCTTGCTCACTGCTGTTGTCCCCGCTGTGTGATGTGTGTCCTCCGCTGGAGGGTCCGGGGGTTCCCCCAGAGCGCGTTGACGCCGTGTCATCGTGGTCTCTGTTCCAGGAGGG